AATGCGTACGACATAGCCTTCCTCGTCCAGCTCCACCTGCATGCAAACCATCCCATCAAACCAGAGTTGCAAAGGCCTCATCCATTCTCAGCCATTAAGAACAAAAGAGGGCACCAGGATCCAAGGCCTGCTCTACTTCAAACCGAGTTTGGTGATACATGTTTCATTTCTACCCGGTTTGACAACATATCTGCCGCAAGCAGTTTGGCGATAACCCCGCAGCTGCCTCGTCGTCGTACCTGGGCCAGCGATCGATTTGCGCGTTGCGCCTTCGGATGCCGAAGGTTGTTCACAGAATGTCTCTCAGCCGCCTTATCTGCATCCTGCCGTGGGCCTCATAAACCTGACTAGAGCCTTAGAACAAAGTTCACAGCAGCCAGAGCGCCGAGGCGGCGGCTGCATCCAGCCAGGGTTTGGTGCCTCGGCTGGTGACAAGTGGAACAAGGACGCCGCAGCGACTCGGATGGCACTACTCCAACACATTCACAAAATGACGCACCATTCAACAAAAAAAACAAAGACTCACCACCAAAGGATCATAACTTCAACCTGCCCACCCCCCCACCCACCCATCCACCCACCCACCCAGCCCCAGTTTTTACGTGCTCCACGCCTCCCATGCCGCAGCTCCCGCGGAGCTGCGGAAAAACTGTCGCCTCGCCTTCGGCCGAGCTGCCCCGAAGGTCTCCCGCAGCCCCACCCGCAGTACGGAGCCAGGCACCGGGATCACCTCGCGGGTAGTTGTTTGTGGCGTCGACTGGAGTGCGGGAAGCTGGTCGTCTTGTTTGTTGTCTTTTTGGAGGGGGAGACGCCCAAAAAAAACAAGAACGATTTCCAAACGAAACCACCAAAAAGAGAGTATGTCTTTTTTAGAAGCCCCAAAAATCATGCGCTTTCCCTGTGAAACCACCCAATAATAGAGAAGGGTAGTACCCTCAAAAAAAAGAGCACACACACACATACACACACACTTCTGGATAAACCAAAAGCTCGGAGTTTGGAGTGTTCAAGTCTCTTCTTGCTTTGTGATGCTACCTGGGAAGCATTGTGCAGTTCCCGGTGACAGCTTCAAGCTGGTTCAGAATTGGCTTGGGAGCACCGGCAAACTGGAAACAAAGCAGCTGTTCCAAAAGCATTCCACGTTAACCTCGCGACATTCGCCGTGAGTCTAAGGTGCCCGCCAGGATCTGCTTCGCCCTCAGGCCCGGGATGGAACGCCCAGAAGTCGGCCACGGAGTTCCCCCATGTCCCCGTTTCGTCCCAAGTGCTGTTCCCAAGGTTGCATCCGGGCCGGATCGTCACTATATGGCCCTTCCGCAAAGCCCGCCAAAACGCATCTTGGAATGCGGCTCTTCGATCTCTGTCTGGAGGACCTGGCAATTAACAAGCTCCTTCGGAAACGAAACACTTTGACAAAATATGCCGGAAACCATCTCAAGGTTAGGACGTCCGAACCCCGCAATAGTGAGCAGGCCGCTTTGCTGGAGAAACATCCTCGAGATGTGTCCAGTCGGTGCTTTGCCAGAGCGGGGCCCGCGAGCTGAGACATAAAGTGGGCACTCAAAAGTCGGAAAGGGAAGAAAAATAATACATGTATATATATATATATAATAATATATATATATAAGTCCGCCCATGTTGGGGCCCTCGATTACCTCGACCAGCCTCCAGATTGATGTGATCATCATCGCTGTACTCTCGCCCCCCGCGGATGTTGCCGCCCTGACCGGGTGCCGCAAACAGCTGAGAGATCAATGTGAGTGCCCCAGAATGGCGGTTTTCCTATTGGTTTCCCCTTAAAAACCACCAAGAACCAGGCACCCTGAAAAAGAAACACACTCGTGTCCGACCTTGCTCAAGGCAACTCAAGCACAACGTGGCCAAATCCACCAACACCCTTTGCCAGCCACTTGCCAACGCACCTTGAGCAAAGCACAGTCCACATACTTCTCACCTCGGCCAACCACACCAAGGAACACGACACGGTCCGAGTCTGGGGTGTCCCCACTTCCACGTAATCAAGGGTTTCATCGGTTCCGAGTGAACCTCGTTCTGCAGCTAGCGAGTAAGCCCGTCACCCAAGGGCATGTCCATGTTCAGGGCATCTCGTATCCGTGAGAGCAGGAAGGTACCTGTTGCACTTGGGTCACTGGCCGCTGCTTTGACCATGGCGCAAGCAGCCAAACAAATGGGGGTGCCTTTCTGAAGGGCACCCCCCAAAACATGGTGGTTTTCCTTTTGGTTTCCCTGTAAAACGGTACCATTAAAAAAAAAGTATAAGGCCCAACCATCTCCAGCAACCCCATGCCGTGCAAACGGCTGGGCGCCCATGGACACTCTCTGACCTCTGGATTGCACCTGGGACCAGCCAGCACAATCATATTCAGACTGATGGCAGGGATATGGGGGGTCGCCTTTTCTGGGGACCCCAAAAAATGGATTTCGCCTTTCCTTTTGGCCATCTTGCAATCCCGAAATCAGGCCGCCCACGGAGGTCAGTGGCCGGTATGAACTCGGTACTCGTGCCAGCTCTGTCCTTCGGAGTGCGACAAACAAGGGTCCTGCCGAAGTTGAGCTGGGCCCCTCAAGCAAACAGCCATGAACCACAGTCATCCCTCTGATCGGTCGGTGATTTGGGTTCGGTTGAGGTCTCCCATCTACCCTCCACAAGAACTCCAGGTTCAAATCCCCAAACGAATCGAAATTAGTCGGGCACCTGAAGTCATGCAAATCCAAAAACCGGATACCCGCCCCCTGCCATTCTATCCCAGAACGGCCTCGTTCAGTAAAACAAATATCCCCATTGCGTTTAACTCCGGCTGCGAAGCAAATCCTAAGGTCCTAACCACACAATGCACCGCATACATCCACCAATCGACCCATCCACCCTGTCCTCCTCAGTGGGTCTAATACTTTGTAAGCATCTTCCTCGGCCGTTCGCCCAGCAAACATCATGGCAGCTAGCACTCTCATTGCCCAGTGCAAACGCTACTGGCGCTTCTGCAAACGACTTTCTCACACAACAACATGGTCCTCCAAATCTGCCTATGACAACCCACCCACCCACCCCACCCACCCACCCACCCCAAAACAACAACAAAACCAAAAAGAACGCCATAGAAAACGTGAACCCATGAGCGTCACGCACGGGCTCCTAAGATCTGAGACGCCAGCCGCAACCTTTTTGAGGCCCTCGTCCGGCGGCCAATCGCACACGTTGACGATCTCGTACTGGCAGGCGCGTTGGAATAAGTCTCCCAAAAAAAAGAGCACACAACATGTCCAAAACCAGAATAAAAAAAGTTGAAAGGAATCCCAAGTAAAGGATATTTATTTACCAGGGTGAGCTCGCCGTAAAGCTTGTGCAAATCACTCTGATTCAGAACTGGGGATAGCCTGAGCAAGGAGCCTTCATGGGTGCGTGAAAGTTTCGACAGTGCTCATGATAGGATCACTTCCATCTTGCTGGCCGTTGCGGAAAAGAATGCACAAATCCACTTCGCGGACCATAGTGACAGTCAAAATATCAGGCTACTGAAGCATTGAGCCCAGTGCGCTTGAAGCAATCCGGAGTCGTTGACTCTTCCTCAACCCTTCAGAATGGCTTTGAGCGCCAGGATGCACACTTTCATGCATTTGCAAGCGTGAGCTCCGGGGCTTAGCCGAGCCGGGCGGGGCGGGGTCGGGGCGTGCGGGAGCGAGCGAGCGAGTGAGCGAGAAAGGCGTATCCACGAAGGAGTGTGGAAATAAAGAGTTGTTGAAAACTGCGACGACAGAAATACCCTGGGTTTTGCGTTTGGCGGCTCAACACCAAGCCCCAAATCTACAGCGCGCGCATAGCTAAAGCAATGCGAGACAAACGAGCCCTGTGGCCTCAATCACGGGCGAGCTTGCACCGGCATTTGGCCAGGACAGGTCCTTAAGGCTCGGCAAACTGACACTGAGGGCCCGAAGGACTTCCTCCGGTTAGATCTGGTTGCATATGCCTGGCAACTGAACGCACAAAAGACAACGCCTCTGCCAAAATGATTCGCCAAATTGGTCATACCGAGTCATACCCAAACAAGTCAAAAAGTCAGATCAGACCATTGTACAGCACCCGGCTCAGACCCTACCCCCAGCTTCCCCCCAGCTCGGCTCCCTGCCAGAATCACGGCCTTGATGCCGTCCTGGCCCGGCTTCAGCAGCCGGGTGCCCTCGACCTTCCGCGGAAACGAAGCGGAAACCGTGCGCGACGCGGAAACAAAGGGATGGCCCCCCACCTGGTAACCGGTGCCACTGGAGTTTCCCAAACTTGATCAATTGACTGGTGGTGTCCATTGAAACGCTTGCAGCTTTTCGAGGAAACCCCGTGGCAAAGCGAATCAGAATGCGATTCCAAAAACGAGGACAGGCCGCTTCAACACCCCGAAGCCAGGCGTTGGTGTTGCTCTCGGCGCTGCCAGCCCGAGGCTGCGGCCATTCGGTCAACGACATGATGGTCCTCGATTTTTTTCTCATGCTCGCGCTGCAACAAAAAAAATCCGCTCTCCAAACGAATTGGCGGCTTGGGGCCGAATCGGTGGCTGGTCAAGAAGAGGGTTTTCCCATTTACCCTCCACAAGAACCCGTCCTCCCCTAAATCTCCGATCGAAAATGCGAAAGGCTCTCGCATTTCAGTGTCTTCGGATGCGCAATAAACAGCAGCGCTAAGCAGCCCGGCATGACCGCTGAGAATGACGGGGAAGTCGAACTCTCTGCAAGTCCTCTCGTCCTGGACAACTTCCCCTCGCCCCCCCAGCAAGTGAGGGCTGAAGGGCGGTCTCTCAGCGCCAAAACGCCAAAACACCTGTCCTTGGTTGCTCTTGACCCCCCCTGCTTTGGGGGTTTAGGGGAAAACCTCTTGATTTCAACCACAAAGTTAAAGTCTAACAATCCAATAGCAGTCAAGAGTCCTGAGGCTCGTAGAGGTGGCACAAGGGCACCACCACGTCGCAAGCCTTTTTTTGCCTTGGCTGACGTCGTAGCTTTGGATGTGCGGCTTGCAAGCGGAAAGTTGACCTCCAAGCAGACTCGACGTGCGGGACTCCCGGTGGCCTCAAGTCTTGGCGATCGTCTGAGAAGAGAAGGGGAGGCAGAAGAAAAAAAAAAGCCAAGGGATGCCGAGAATGGGCCGCCGCTGGTCGCTTCTTCGGGTCTCTCGGTCTCTCCAACCCCGTCCCAGCCCAAACCCGAAACGCTGCCCGAGGATCTCCAGCTTCTTCTTGTAGGTGGCCATGGTCTCCCACGGGTCTTCGATCTTCGCGCCCCCGAAGGCGCCGGGCCGGTACAGGCTTGGCCTCGGGACCAAAAGCCCTCCCAGTGGCCAAGAGCTGTGAACAGCCCCCAAGCGGTTCCTAAATAGTACCTCACGGTTTCAATGTTCTTTGCAGATGGCCGGGCTCCATTGCTGCCTTCCCTCCGTCGTGACAAACCGCCAGTCTGTTCATTTGCATTTTTCGGTTGAAAGGCTTGCCAACTCATTAAAGGCCCCCGCGGGCATGACCCATAAACAGCACACTTGGCCGACCCTCCCCAAACCACGGCACATCCTAGGGGCCCCCGCGAATTGCTCAGAACACCCATAAGGCCAACTTTCCGCTTGTTGGTTCCGTCGCGGGACCTCAGCAGCTCAGCACTTGGAGCCGCAAGCTGCTTGCCCCCGAATCGAGCTTGCGAGCCACGCCTCTCTCGCCGAAACGGGAGATTTGGCTGTGGGTCAAAGCCAATGGTACCATTTTGGGCAGGTGCACCACCCAGTTTAGTCTATTTTAGTGGGGATTGGGATGTTCACTGGGGGTACGGGTTTTTGACCCATGGCCATTTTGCTTAAGGCGTCATTCTGCTCCTTCAAATTTCGGCCACCCTTCAAACTCCGACCAGCACCCTGACTCCGGCACCCCGGCGAGTTCAACACGTGTCTCCAGTCGCTGCGTTCGATCCATCGCCAGGGGCCCCCCACGCGATTTGAATCACCTCCTGGGCCACCTGACAAGTGGAGTCCTTGAAGGACTCGTGTGACCTGAGACTTGGCTGACCTTTGCTCTCCGTGAACCATGTGTTTGTTTTCTTTTCGAAACAAAAATGCTTTGCTTGTTGGTTCTTTGGTTGTATCATGGCAAAGGATGATGCTGCTTGGCATGGCAAAGGACTTGAAGGGCAAAAGCCTTGAGCGCCCGGCTGCATGTTGGTGTTGATCCAAACTCCAGTGTACTCACGCTCCCTTTTCATGACCTCCTTGTGCGGGATATCATCCTGGCGGTCGCTGGGCTGATCAGCAAGTCCCAAAGAAAGCCCTGAATTCAAAACCAAACACATGCGATTCCTTTAAAAAAAAAAAAAAAGTGTGTTTATTCTTGTGCGGCGGCTTACCCCTTCGTAAAGTCACAGCGGATCACCCAAAGCCATCAGCAAGGAAAAAATATCTCGGCCTCATGGTTGCCCCAGGTCAAATAATCGATCGGAGTTCCATTGCACCTGCATTTTGCATGAGCATGGATATGGCCATGTGGCCATGGGTCAAAATCCCGCACCCCCAGTGAACATCCCAATCCCCACTAAAATAGACTCTAGACCAAAGTGGGTGGTGCACCTACCCCAAAATGGAACCATTGGTTTTGACCCACAGATGTCTGTGAACCCAACTGAGCCCTTCGCATCTTCATCATACCGATGCCCATGTCAATGGAGGACAGCAGATACGGGGCCAAGAAATCCCCCGTCAGCATGCCTCGGGCCCGCTGAGTTTCAGCGACTGCCCAAGGCAAGTGCAAACGCCATAAGCTGGGCACTGATAGTCTGCCCACCACATCTGCGTTCTAGCTCCAAGGTTTTCTCCTCGCGGAAGCGCGAGTGGAACCCTCGCAGAAGCGCAAGGGGAACCGACCCAAGGTGATTTCACGCTTGTCCTTGATGAGCGTGCGCAGGCTGGGGAAGTTGTCTAGCACATAAACATCTGTGATCTGTACCTGACTGCTACCGCATGCACTCTCGCGACCACGGACACAATGACGAACAAGGCACTATCCGCAGTGTGCATGAACTGGATGATTCACCTGGGAAGATTGAGAGGGAGGACCAAAAGCTGGCACTGTTTGCCGGAAGTGCACTTCAAACAAATGCATGCATGGGCAAAGTAGCAAAGCATGCTTCCGGGCGTGTTGTGTGAGCCCAGGATGGCAACTCGAAATCGAAAGTTGAGTCTGGCACCAGATCTGTTTAAAATGCGGGACACACCTCTGGAGCACTCACCTCGGCCGCTGTGCAAGAGCCCTTTGGGAAGGTCCTCCGCTCACTGGTGTCAAGAATAACTTGCTGGTGGTCACTAGGGAATGACCCAGGGTGTTGGGAACAAACCTAGGGTTTCCCGCAAAGGTAGCCATAGGGCATGGTTTTTGTCGGGGTCTTTCCTGCGATCCCTGACGCACAGCTCACATTTTCGCTCGAAAAACCAATTCCGAGGTTTGGGCATGGCCTCGAACTCGATAAGCCCATCCTGAGCTTGCGGGTGAAGCTTATGAAACAAAACCTTGCACAAAAACAAAAAAACGCGCCCATCAAAACATGCACAGAAAATCTCGGATGTGTTTTGATTGTGGTTGCTGGCTGCCTATTGCGTTCTATTTGCCACCGCTGCGCCAGCTAGGGGCGGGGCTTCGGGCACGAGGCCGGGCCGGGAGATGCTTACAGCGTAGCTGACCCACAAGTTCAAGCGGCCACCAGGTTTGCCAAACCCAAAGGAATGTTGCTTCCAAGAAAAATATCGAGTTCTGGAACATGATTCTTTGGCTGGCAATCGAGCAATCGCAACTATGACATCTTCGAAGGGGCTGCTGCAAGATCAGGATGCGGCTAGTCGAATTAACCAACACAAATGAACCCCTGAAAAATGACATGCACCCTGGAGACTGCGTGGACTTTTTGTTTTTCCCGAAAGCATCGCGAAGGGCTCTTTGGAAAACACCGCTGCCGGCTACACAGCTGACTTACGCACACAGCCTAACTTACGCAGCCTAGCTTACGCAGCGTGACTTACTCAAACTGACTTACGCAGCCTGACTTACACAGCCTGACTTGCGCGGCCTATCTTACGCCTATCTTACGCAGCCTGACATACGTAGCCTAGCTTACGCAGCTTGACTTACGCAGCCTGACTTACGCAGCCTGACTTACGCAGCCTGACGTACGCAGCCTCACTTACGCAGTGTCGGAGCCGCTCTCGCTGGGCGCCGTGCGAATTTGCAACTTCGTCGACGAACCCTCTGCGGAGACTGCGAGTGTCAAGTCGCTCTCGCTGTGGCGCCGTGCGAATTTGCAACTTCGCCGACGAATATCCCGGATATTTCGACGACGGCATTTCCCGAAATACTTAGAATATTCGAGAAAACGAATCCCAAAATGTTCGGAATATTTCGAGAAAATGTTAGGTGGCTACGATTCTCCCAAAATATCTAAAATATTTCGGGAAATTGGTCCCTACAAAAAATAAAGCCATTACATCTTCCAAATTATGGCCGGGGTAACCCGGGCAAATTCGCTCTCGCTGTGACGCCGCGCGACTTTGCAACTTCGTCGACGACCCTCTGCAGAAATTGCGCGTGTCGAATCGCTCTCGCTGTCGCGCCGTGCGAGTTGCAACTTCGCCCGCGAACCCTCTGCGGAGATTGTGCGTGTCGAATCGCTCTCGCTGTGGCGCCGTGCGAATTTGCAACTTCGCCGACGAACCCTCTGTGGAGATTGTGCGTTCTCGCTCGAATCGCTCTCGCTCGAATCGCTCTCGCGCGAATCGCTCTCGCTGTGGCGCGACTTTGCAACTTCGCCGACGAACGCTCTCGCCGCGGCGCCGTGCGAACTTGCAACTTCGCCGACGATCCCTCTGCAGACACTGCGCGTGGTTCGCTCGCGCTGCGGCTCCGCAATCGCAAAAGAGAAAGAGAAGGATAAAGATACAGAGAAAAAGAAAAGGAGAAAGAGAAAGAGAAAGAGAAAGACAAAGGGAAAGAGAAAGAGAAAGAGAAAGAGACAGAGAAACAGACGGAGACAGAGACAGAGACAGAGACAGAGACACAGAAAGAGAAAGAGAAAGAAAAAGAAAAAGAGCAAGAGAAAGAGAAAGAGAAAGCGAAAGCGACAGCGAAAGCGAAAGCGAAAGCGAAAGCCGAAAGCCGAAAGCCGAAAGCCGAAAGCCGAAAGCGGAAAGAGCGGAAAGAGCGGAAAGAGCGGAAAGAAAGGAAAGAGAGGGAAAGAGAGGAAAGATAGGAAAGAGAGGAAAGAGAGGAAAGAGAGGAAAGAGAGGAAAGAGAGGAAAGAGAGGAAAGAGAGGAAAGAGAGGAAAGAGAGGAAAGAGAGGAAAGAAAGGAAAGAAAGGAAAGAAAGGAAAGAGAGGAAAGAGAGGAAAGAGAGGAAAGAGAGGAAAGAGATGAGGAAAGAGAGGAAAGAGAGGAAAGAGAGGAAAGAAAGGAAAGAGAGGAAAGAGAGGAAAGAAATGAAAGAGAGGAAAGAGAGGAAAGAGAGGAAAGAGAGGAAAGAGAGGAAAGAAAGGAAAGAGAAAGAGAAAGAGAAAAAGAGAAAGAGAAAGAGATGAAAGAGAGGAAAGAGAGGAAAGAGAGGAAAGAGAGGAAAGAGAGGAAAGAGAGGAAAGAGAGGAAAGACAGGAAAGAGAGGAAAGAGAGGAAAGAGAGGAAAGAGAGGAAAGAGAGGAAAGAGAGGAAAGAGAGGAAAGAGAGGAAAGAGAGGAATGAGAGGAAAGGAGGAAAGAGAGGAAAGAGAGGAAAGAGAGGAAAGAGAGGAAAGAGAGGAAAGAGAGGAAAGAGAGGAAAGAGAGGAAAGAGAGGAGAAGAGAGGAAAGAGAGGAAAGGAGAGGAAAGAGAGGAAAGAGAGGAAAGAGAGGAAAGAGAGGAAAGAGAGGAAAGAGAGGAAAGAGAGGAAAGAGAGGAAAGAGAGGAAGAGAGGAAAGAGAGGAAAGAGGAAAGAGAAAGAGAGGAAAGAGAGGGAAAGAGAGGAAAGAGAGGAAAGAGAGGAAAGAGAGGAAAGAGAGGAAAGAGAGGAAAGAGAGGAAAGAGAGGAAAGAGAGGAAAGAGAGGAAAGAGAGGAAAGAGAGGAAAGAGAGGAAAGAAAGGAAAGGAAAGAGAGGAAAGAGAGGAAAGAGAGGAAAGAGAGGAAAGAGAGGAAAGAGAGGAAAGAGAGGAAAGAGAGGAAAGAGAGGAAAGAAAGGAAAGAGAGGAAAGAGAGGAAAGAGAGGAAAGAGAGGAAAGAGAGGAAAGAGAGGAAAGAGAGGAAAGAGAGGAAAGAGAGGAAAGAGAGGAAAGAGAGGAATTAGAGGAAAAAGAGGAAAGAGAGGAAAGAGAGGAAAGAGATGAAAGAGAGGAAAGAGAGGAAAGAGAGGAAAGAAAGGAAAGAGAAAGAGAAAGAGAAAAAGAGAAAGAGAAAGAGATGAAAGAGATGAAAGAGATGAAAGAGAGGAAAGAGAGGAAAGAGAGGAAAGAGAGGAAAGAGAGGAAAGAAAGGAAAGAGAGGAAAGAAAGGAAAGAAAGGAAAGAGATGAAAGAAAGGAAAGAGAGGAAAGAGAGGAAAGAGAGGAAAGAGAGGAAAGAGAGGAAAGAGAGGAAAGAGAGGAAAGAGAGGAAAGACAGGAAAGAGAGGAAAGCGGAAAGAGAAAGAGAAAGAGAAAGAGAAAGAGAAAGAGAAAGAGAAAGAGAAAGAGAAAGAGAAAGAGAAAGAGAAAGAGAAAGAGAAAGACAAAGAGAAAGAAAGAGGGGGGGGGAATCGATTGCACAGCGGCGCACGCAACCAAGTGTTGAATGCGTGGGCTTGATTGCGCAGTTTCACGTTCGCCGCTTAGCATTGCACAGGGATAATGAGGCAATGCTGCAATGCGATTGCTGCAGGCTAGAAATAGGTTGCTGAGACGATTGTTTGGCGCGTGTAAGTGTAGGTTTAAGAATTTCAGTTGTTGAGTAGAGTAGTGCTGGATACGTGGCACGACGCAGTGTACACAAGCAACATCACACCTGTGCACATCACAACATTCTTGCATCACCTTTGTCACACACTCTTCGGAACAGGGTCTAGTTCTTGCACCTTTTTCCGCGGCGACGACTCCTTCATGCCAAACGGCCGGGCGCCTCACCGGTCACGGCTGACAGCAGGAGTATCCGCGTTGGCTTCGAGCACATCGCTTGCCAGTGACGCCGGCGGTGGACGGCGCCGATAGAAAGAAGCTCCATCAGAGCACAACACAGGCCACCGTCAACATAATTCGCAGCCTTGGCGCGCAAACTGTCAAATGATATCGGCTGCCTCCGAACTCCGACGTCCCGTTTCAATGGCCAAAACCACTCCGGCAGCGGGACTGCGACGCAAGAAACTCCGGGCACGTCTGCTCTTTGGCACGCTTGGCAATGCGCAACGCGGCCCCTTCCGCTCGCCTTTGGTTGTGGCGGGGCTCCCACAACCAAAAACAAACGACACAAAGGTCGTGTCAACAGCAAGTTGGGCAACCACCCCCACGTGCAACCCGCTGGGCAGCACCCACATTGAGGTCTCAGACCAGGGTTCGGTGACCCAGCCTCGCGACACACACGTGCGGCCGCGCGTTGCAGCGACCCCGCTCGCGCTTGCAACACACCATTCCCTCCCCGAAAGCGTTCCGAAGGTTAGAGACCTATTGCACTGCTCCTAGCTTGAAACCCGACGACCCTCCAAACTCCTGGCGAAGGCATAAGTTAGCCAATCAAAGAGTAAGTAGGTTTCTCACTGTGTGATCAGTAGCGAACGCCAGCCAATGATGCAAACACTGATTCTGATCCTCCCGGCACAGGTCCTGACAAGGCTTAACTTGCCATCAACAACATATAATATACTTGGGCGTGGGTCCTGGCGAAGGCAGTGCGAATGCACGGCGCGGCATGCGTGCCCACGCCCACATTGCGGTTCGAGATAGATTTGGCGCACCGCGGGTAGACAGCTGAAGCGAGGTGAAGAGCGTCTACAGCCTCTGGATCAGCAGATGCCTTGAATCGTGACCGCGGCAGCCCTCGACGCCGCCCTCGCCGGCAAGGCGGACGCAAGCGCGCTGGCCGCCCTGCTTTCCACGGTGGACGGGTTGGACACGCCACTGGAGGTAGACACCAAGATAGCAAATGCCCTGCTGGGTCTCGCCACCGAGGCCTTCGTCGCAGCGCAGCTTGCTAGCCGGGATGCCAGCATCTCAGCGCTCCAGGGCTCCAAGGCCGACGCGACGCTGCTGGCCTCGTACGCCACGAACGCCGCGCTCTCCGCCAGCGAGACCACGCTCCAGAGCACCCTCGACGCAATTCTCGCGGACCTCACCACCCTGCAGCTTTCCGGCGGCGGGGGAGTTGTTAACGTGCCGGCCTGGGCGGGGTTCACGACTTGGGAGCTCCCTGCTGACAAACCTTCAGACTTGTCAGTGACCATGAATCGCTTGGTTGAATCAACGCCACGTCCATGGCATTTGACAGTGCAGGAAGATTTTCTATGCCTTGGGAAAGCGCATCACTTGGTTCAATTTTCAAGCGGAGCATTTGTTGCGTGGAACACGTGTTGGCATTGCGGACACCCTTTCTCACACATCAACCGTCCCAGCGCCTATTTTTATTTTGCAACAGCAGTCGGCGTCTTCATCTTATGCCAATAAGCGGTTGAAGTACATGAGCTTGGTGTCCTCAGAAGATG